GACATATGTGGTAGGACGTTATACGTGAAAGAATATCTTGGGAACATTGCATGCTACTTTTATTTTGCCTGAAAGGGTAGTGATGTGATGTTTACAAGCCAGGAACACAGCCTCTGATTGGAAAACAAGTCAGGAACACAGCCTCTGATTGGAAAACAAGTCAGGAACACAGCCTCAGATTTGTCGACTAGTCAGGAACACAGCCTCAGATTTGTCGACAAGTCAGGAACACAGCCTCTGATTGGTCAACAAATCAGAAACACAGCCTCTGATTGGTAAACAAGTCAGGAACGCAGCCTCTGATTGATTGACAAGTCAGGAACACAGCCTCTGTTTGGTCAACAATTCAGGAAGACAGCCTCTAAATGGTTCACAAGTCAGGAACACAGCCTCAGATTTGTCGACAAGTCAGAAACACAGCCTCTGATTAGTCAACAAGTCAGGAACACAGCCACTGATTGGTCGACAAGTCAGGAAGACAGCCTCTAAATGGTTCACAAGTCAGGAACACAGCCTCAGATTTGTTGACAAGTCAGGAAGACAGCCTCTGATTGGTTGACAAGTCAGAAACACGGTCTCTAAATGGTTGACAAGTCAGGAACACAGCCTCTGATTGGAAAACAAGTCAGGAACACAGCCTCAGATTTGTTGACAAGTCAGGAACACGGCCTCGGATTTGTCGACAAGTCAGGAAGACAGCCTCTGATTGGTTGACAATCAGGAACACAGTCTCTAAATGGTTGAAAAGTCAGAAACACAGCCTCTGATTGGTCAACAAGTCAGGAACACAGCCTCTGATTGGTTGACAAGTCAGGAGCACAGCCTCTAAATGGTTCACAAGTCAGGAACACAGCCTCAGATTTGTTGACAAGTCAGAAACACAGCCTCTGATTAGTCAACAAGTCAGGAACACAGCCTCTGATTGGTCGACAAGTCAGGAAGACAGCCTCTGATTGGTTGACAAGTCAGAAACACAGTCTCTAAATGGTTGACAATCAGGAACACAGCCTCTGATTGGAAAACAAGTCAGGAACACAGCCTCAGATTTGTTGACAAGTCAGGAACACGGCCTCAGATTTGTCGACAAGTCAGGAACACAGCCTCTGATTGATCAACAAGTCAGGAACAGAGCCTCTGATTGGTTGACAAGTCAGAGACACAGCCTTTGATTGGTTGACAAGTCAGGAACAAAGCATCTGACTGGTCAACAGACTCAACCCAAGGCATCAATGGAGTGCTAACAACAATAATACCTCTTTTCCATATGGAGAAATGGATAAATAATCACAGAAGACATTCAGTGTTGGATTTGTCCTTATGGATTTCTTTTACAAAGTCTACAAAAACACAACGCAGGTCAAGCCTAGATTACAAAGCTTCTGGAAGGGATACTTTTTGTAAGTCGCTCTGGATAAGAGCATCTGCTAAATGATGCAAATGTAAACAGATACAGTCGCACCAGGGCTCTCATTGGAATGGCACATATTGTATCAAACTCTCACTTTGTTTAATTGGTGATCAAGGGCACAATCAGGAGTATCCAGTCTTGGGATTTGAACCCATAACCTTTCAACTGATAGCTCATTTCTCCTGCCACTGGGCTACCAGCCACTCCGCAGTGGAGCCCTACTGCCTGTTTGATCTGATCCTGCTTCTGCAGTGCATGAAAATATTTGCTGCCCACACTGCATTTGTGTTGGCCGTTTGACCCCTATTATATTTCAGTTTGCTTAGAGCGGAATTAGCCAGCCTTTGTTGATTCAGCTCAGTGTTCATAATATAGACAAACCCTGACTTTCTGAGTTTAAACTTTATTTTTTTTTTCTTCTGTGCAAGCTCTGACTGTAATACTGGCACATTATTGAGTTCCTGTTGTTTACTGGCTCTGCAACTGCTCACTTTTTTACCATCTGTCACATGCTGGATTTAACAATCACAGTAGATTTATCCTGTATTGTTATGCAGAAACTTGGTGGAGTTTATTCAATTAACAAGATGTTGAGTTCACAGCGGTAAACAAACTTCAAAGCGAATCAGGAGCTTCTGCTTTTTCTGCTCTGCGTGTGTTTACAGCAGAGAGGGGAAAGGTCAGATTTACTTATTTCTCTCTGTGAGTGAACAAACTGACAAATGATAAATAAATGTGTTAAAGTAACTACAGGGTGGCTGTGTTTGCGAGGGGATGAAGCTGAATGCAAGGAATGAAATAAACAAAACAGAAAACAAATCATACTCACAGATATGTAAATACAGTTTTTTTTTTTTACTCTTGTTCTCTCTCTCTCTCTCTCTCTCTCTCTCTCTCTCTCTCTCTCTCTCTCTCTCTCTCTCTCTCTCTGCCTCCTGTCTTTCTCTCTCATTCTGTTTTCTCTTCAGAGAATTTGTCTTCTCCAAAGGGACTTCTGGGACCGAAAGCTTTCTTAAGAAAAACCTGTGAAGGTTCTAAAGACAAACACTAAGAAGTTCATTAGTTCTTAAATGCAGGTCTCAAAATTTTTTTTTAAGATTTTCTTAAATATTCTTTTAAGATAATCTTAATTCACTGCAGTATCTTGTCAATCAAAAATGATCTTAAAACCTAGTCAATAAACCTGATATTTCTCCTGTTGAGATTGTTGTATCCTATTTCAAGATTATTTAACTTATTTCCAAACATTTCTTATTTATTGTAAGTGATTTTATTGAGTAAATGTACTTGAACCCAGCAAAATTATCTGCCCATATAGTGAGTTATTTTTTCTTAATAAAATTTTTAAAACAGGTACAAAAAAAATTGTGATATGATTCACATACCAGAACACTCAGAGGAACCTGCCATCACTAGCCAGAGTGAGAGGAACCAGCTCTGACATCCCACATCCCAGAAATACAGCTCCAAACACAGCCACAACCACTGTCAAACCTCCTATTAGCGCTCTGCTCTTCAGATCCTGTGTTAATGTCCATTTAAACATACAGTTCATGCTTAAGAGTTCTCTAAACTGCCTGCATAAAAGCAACCTGCAAAGAAAAGTGGGCCAAGATTTCTTCACAGCAATGTGAAAGAGTCATCTGCAGTTACAGGATAAAGGTGGCACAACCACTTATTATGTTTAAGGGGGGGTCAATTACTTTTTCACATAAGTGATACAGGTGTTACAAAACATGTTGCTTCAATATCAAAGTAGCAAAATATGCCCAGGTGGGGTTCTATGGCTTGAGTTCTAAGGGTTAATCACACACACAAGAGCCACCTCTTGTACAGTAATCCATCCATCCTGGTTTTATGCAAATTTTTAAACTCTGCATACAAAAGATTCAACTTCAGAAATGATAACAAACATAAAATAAAGTCATAGGTCACAGAGTTTGAGCCTCATCAAAAAATGTCTCAGCTTTGTTAAAAGAACATGTAGTGGAGCATGGCATGTGTTGACTTATGAAGAAACAAAAATCTCACAGAATCATTCAATCTATCATACTAATATCTACACCACAGCAGACAGCAAACTGTACCAGCATAATGTTTTTTACCAAGAGGTGCAAACCAAAGGCTGCAGTGAGTCGTGACCTTTTCTTAAAAATGAGTGGAAAAGATTGAAATTCTACATGCCACTGAAAGAAATGCTGCACATGAATAAAATATATGCGAATATATTACATCAACACAGTTTTGTCTTTTGCTTTACTTACTTCTGAATTCAATATATAAACATTTTTGCACTGCTTGTAGTAGCGCCATGTATTGCTGACATAGGGCTGTTACAGAGACGCTACACTAAGTGTCTGCTTGACAACCTTGCTGCATGTTTAGAATATGTGGAAAATAGTATCTGAAGGGAGCACACAATAATTCATAGTTTGACTTTTTATTTACTACGTAAATTTAGACTGATTATTCAGTTATTAATTGTAGGACTTATTATTCAGTAACTACTGTATATTATTTAGTACTCATTATGAATTGTTCACTAATTCTTCACTATTCAGTAACTGAAGTTATTTTGTATCTACCATGAATCATTCAGCCTCTTCTATGAATCATTTACTAATAACTTTTAATTACTCAATTTCTACAATTAATCAGTCAGTATTTACCATAAATTATTAAATATCTACTATGATTTATTGAGCAACTACTATAAATGGTTCAGTATCTACTATGAATTTTTCAGTACCCATTATTATTCATTCAGTAACTATTTTTAGTTATTTTATATATTTTAGTTATCTTCTATGAATCAATCAGTGTCTGCCATGAATCATTCATTATATATGAAGGATTACTATACTACTATAAATGATTCAGTGTTTGGAATAACTTATTCAGTTGCTACTATTAATTATTCTATAACTGCTATGAATTATTAAGTATCTACTATGAATTATTGAGTAAATACTAAATCATTTGTAGTAGTTACTCAGTAATTCATAGTAGATATTGATGATACTATGAATCATTCAGTACCCATTATGAATCATTCAGTAAATACTTCAAATTATTTTATATCTTCTATGAATCATTCAGTATCTACTGTAAAACCTTCAACAAATACGATGAATTATTTAGTTTCTACTATGAATTATTCATTATAGACTATGGATTATTCAGTTACCACTATGAATTCTTCAGTATCTACTTTAAATTATTCTGTAACTACTGTACCTTTTTTAATAACTGCTCCAAATTGTTCATTATCTACTATGAATCATTCAGAGTGTGCTATGAATTGTTTAATAATAACTATAAATTATTCAGCGTCTACTAAGAATGATTCCGTATCTACTATATTGATGTTGATTTATCCAAAAAGATTATATAAGGTTATATAGGTTAACGCATATTCAACTCATGTTTTATTGATAAGCATTGTTTCCTTCTCCATTGAGTAGCTTCGTCCAGCCTTTCAAAGACTCAAGCAGCTCCATGTATTCAGTGATGCTAATTATTATTATGGTTAACTGCCTCAATATACACACACCTGTAAAACTCCTGATTCTCTGGCGTGTTTTCTGTGCAGATTTTGGTGCATGTGGGGTTCCTGACGGAGGAGTCCGGAGATGTGTTCAGTCCGAAGGTCTTGAAGGGGGGACCGCTGGGGGAGATGGTGCAGTGGGCAGATATACTGACTGCACTTTACGTTCTGGGACACAACCTCAAAATCTCCATCTCAGTCAAAGAGCTACAGGGGTGAGTTAACTTTCTGCACTTCTGTGTCCAGTGGGTCAAGAAGTGGACATAGAGTACACTCTCAAGTGCTGCTGTTCTTTATTTAACGCTTCTCTTTGTGCTTTTCGTCCTCCTCACTGTGGGATGTTTAATGGTGATGTTTAAAGGAGCCTTGTGAAAGGAAAGCATATGCAATATGCACTTGGTAAAAATTCATTAGATAGATAGATAGATAGATAGATAGATAGTGACATGGCAGATGGTTATGCACAGTGTGCACTTGCACACCAGCCCTGTGATTTGGGGGCCCAAGGCTGCAATGCAGGTCAAGTTCTAGTGTTTATGGTAGTTGTAGTCCCTCAGGTAATATGAACAGTAGAGAACAAATCTAGATGTTTGTAAACAAAGGGTCATACAATTTACAAAGTGTCCAAAAGTTGTTTATTTGGGGCTGTACTGTCAAATTTAAAGTCAATAACAATTTAAGAGTTTAAGGTTTACCTGCTAAAACATGTCTCCAGATATGGAGGCTCCTCCTGCTGGGCCTGCTGTCTTTATTTTATAGAGCCCATATACTATTTTCAGCATATTTTGTAGAATTAACTGATTGCATAAAAAAAAAAAACAAATATTAAATAATACCGAGTCCTAGCTTTATGTAAAAGTCTTCATTTCCTGTTTAGAAATGTGTGATTCCAGCCATACTTGCGTATCTGCTGGGGTGGCTTTCTTCGCATTAAAAAAATAAATAAATAAAGAAGCTTCTTGAGCACTGAAAGTGCCCCCTTTTGGCCAGTCTGAATTTTGTGCAGGAATGAATTCTCTGTGTTACATAATGTGAACAAAAAATACAATTTTAAAATGACAATTTGTTACATTTGATGTGATTAATATTTTGACAACCATTTTGTGTTATTTTCTATCTAATTTCTTTATAGTATATAAAACCGCATAAATTTGCACTACAACATTTGCAACATTTACAACACCAGTGCTAAATGCTCAAAAAGTTTACATACAGCCCTGGGGCCTATGAATGCTTGTGTTTCAATCAATAACTCACCAATTCCAAGCCCCACTTCATTTTCTTAGCCCTCTAATCACTGCTTCGCAGCCGTTGCTTTCTACCTCCATCAAGCTTTCAGCACCATACTAGCATTTTTAGCGGTTTTAGTGAGTGATTTTTTGTTTTAACCCCTTAAATGGTCAGAGCCCAACAGCAGGCCCAACATTTTATTACACACTTCTGTTACATAAGAATACTCAGCCAGTTTGCATTTCCTTTAGTTACTGAATAATAAGCCATAGTATGTAATAAGCCTGGGATTTAAGGGGTTAAATCCCAAGTGATGGGGCATCGTCCCAGTGCTACATCAAAATCCAGCTTGTCCCCACTGTTCCACCAGCCATGCACTGATACAAATACAACGACACTCATTCACTCATGAATGAAGGAATGAATATATCACAACACAACCTCATACATGTAAAAGAGGCACAAAAAATAAAAGAAATTAAAAGATTACAACATGCTTATATGAAGTGATCTTTAAAGGAACTCTTTAAAATAGGTTCTCCAGCCCAATATGAGCAGAAACCAGCCTGGAGAGCCTACAAAGCACTTATAAACTTAAGGACAATTTTTAGTGTCTTTTTTTTGGTGAAGGCTAACACAGGCTTCCTCCGAGACCTGTGAAGCCAGCAACCACATCTTTTCGAACTGCCACTCACACAATGTCATTGGACAGCTGAACGTGCTCGGGGGAAAGCGCCAACCGCCAGATCTGTTACGTCAGCTAACAGACGCCTGCGCTGACTAGCATTGCATTAAGTGATGGGGGGAGATGGAGGGACCATCCTACCCACCCAGAGAGCGAAGCCAATTGTGCTCTCCCGGCTACAGATGGCTACGACTGGCTGTAGCATCACCAGGGATCGAACTCACGATCTCCTGATGATAGGGCCAACGCTTAGGCGGTTGCGCCACTCGCGAGCCTTTTTTTCCTTTTTTTAAAAGCACCTTTGCTGTTTCACCCACATCACTCCCTGATTGAGTGCTCTCGAGCCCTTTGCTTGATTTCCTGGTCAGGGTGACACAGCCCCTCCCAGGCTGTTGTCTTGGATGATTGTCATGTTTTCCAGCACAGTGTTCTGTCTGACAGAGGGACAGAATGTGCTGTGTGAAATCTCGATCTGTGAGAGTCTTGCTTCACACCTGAGGCAGCTGACTCTACCCTCACTACAAATGGACAGTGTTTATCAACATCTGCATATCAAAGGCATTTCTTACCATGCACGAGTTCCTGCAGCTGTGATACCTGCTGGTGTTGGCGTTTCATGCTGGGGACTCTTTTAGCATGCAGTCACTTTTGATTGGTCAGTGGGAGACAAACTCTGTTGAAGATAGTCTGAAGTTAGATCCCATTGTTTTGTCCCAAAGTCTGAAAATCAATGTGAAACATTAAGAATTGTCACTACCGAAACATATATTTTCTTCAATTAAGTAAGATTTTTTTTTGTATTTTAATGAAAAAAAATGATGATTTTATATGTGTACAGCTGTTTAAAGCTGCTTTTGCTAGTCATGTACTAGCTAGTGTTTCAGAGTTCTACTCAAAATGAGCTAAAATTGTCACTACCGAAACAGTCACTACTGAAACATTTGGTAAAGTCACTCAGAAAAGCAAAAAAGCTAAATATATTATATATTTAGCTTTTTTTGCTTTTTTGAGTGACTGTATATGTATGCATATGTATACTTTGTTAGCCTCCTTTTACCCTGTTCTTCAGTGGTCAGGACCCCCATGGACCCTCACACAGCAGGTACTATTTGGGTGGTGGATCATTCTCAGCCCTGCAGTAACACTGATGTGGTGGTGGTGTGTTAGTGTGTGTTGCGCTGGTCTAAATGGATCAGACACAGCAGTGCTGCTGGAGTTTTTAAACACCTCAGTGTCACTGCTGGAGAATAGTCCACCAACCAAAAATATCCAGACAACAGCATCCTGTGACCACTGATGAAGGACTACAGGATGTCCAACACAAACTGTGCAGCATCAGATGAGCTATTGTCTCTGACTTTACATCTACAAGGTGGACTGACAAGGTAAGAGTGTCTAATAGAGTGGACAGTGAGTGGACACAGTGTTTAAAAACTCCAGCAGCACTGCTGTGTCTGATCCACTCATACCAGCACGACACACACTAACACACCACCACCATGTCAGTGTCACTGCAGTGCTGAGAATGATCCACCACCCAAATAGTACCTGCTCTGTGAGGGTCCGTGGGGGTCCTGACCACTGAAGAAGAGGGTAAAAGAGGGCTAACAAAGTATGCAGAGAAACAGATGGACTACAGTCTGTAATTGTAGAACTACAAAGTGCACCTATATAGTAAGTGGAGCTGATAAAATGGACAATGAGCGTAGAAATAAGGAGGTGGTCATAATGTTATGCTTGATATCTATATCGGATAAGATATAGGTATGATTAACTGTTTGACAGGGATAACAAGCTAACTTGCAGTGACTTTTAATTGCCTAGCCTAGCTGTTGGCTATATTTAAACGCTGAAAAATGACATTCTTTTCTTTAACATAGTCCAAAATTTATGATCAAATATGTATATTTTGATCGGAAGAAATGTTGTAAAAGCTTCGACAGTAAATTATGAGGAGATAAGGTTAAAATAAACCAAAAGAAATCTGATGTCTGGGTGCACTGGCTGTTATTAGGTTACTGAAATTAGTGCGATTTTAATTTTTTGGTCAAATACCAGAAACCTTGAAATGTGTTTATATATATATGTGTACATGCAGACAGTATTGCCCATGTTATCATCAGTTCATTGGTCGCTTAATAGACATATGAGGACGCAGCCTATTTTCTTGTGTATCGTTATTATGTTAATAAACCAGCATTACTTCACATAAGCCTATTAATTAAACGCGGTAATGTTAAGTATAACAGCGTCTAGATTCAGTTTCTATCCTGTTTCACTTTTATCAGTATTCAGTTTCTTGACGCTGTAGTGCTTAATATGTAATAGAGTTCAGATCTGGCCTTCAGATGGAGGCTGGTGCAGGAGCACACCCAAAGAGGCAGCCTACACAACAAAAGAAGTCTTTCTGAAATTGCTTCTCTTTTTTGCTGACTACAGTGCAGCGGTAGACGGGTTTGGACTCATGCCAGCCCTTTTGTTTTGATCTTCTTTTGAGAAGAACTTTGTGCTTTAGTGCCCTTTCAGAAAGCTGCTCGTGTTGTGTTGGTGATGATCAGAAGGAGTTGGATTGTAACTGATTCCACTGAGAGCAAACTACGCTCGCACACTTTCCAGAGCTAGCGCTTTGGCTCCGGTCCTGAACGGCATGCGGTGTGAAAACGTGACAGGACGAATCTGTATTTCAGTCATTTAAACCATGCTTATTTAGCTGCACATTGATTGCTATTGATCGGGAGGGGTTTGGTATGCCTTTGTTGTTGCCTCTGTGTCATCTTTTTTCCCCACAAGTCAGCAGCATTTTATATTCTGCTAACTGATGCAAGCCCCAGTCTAGCGCCCATAAATCTGTCTGCTCGAGGCGGCTAACGGCAGCTAGCGTGCTCCGTTTGGCTATCAAAGCAGGACCAATACGCTGTAAATCAGAATGAGGAGTCACTCTGCGTCCAGAAGAACCTACAGAGAGCCCCCTGTGGAGAGTTAACCCTTGTGATGTGTTTGGATCCTCTTTAACAACTTTTGAACACCTCATTTTTCAGCTTGATACTTATAATTAATGATCTGTCCCACATTTTTGAATTGGTGCTGGGCTTCTACTGACCAGCTGACCAGAATATTAACACCACCTCCTTATTTCTAAACTCACTGTCTTTTTTATCAACTCCACTGACCAAATATGAGCACTTTGTAGTTCTACAATTACAGACTGTTGTCTATGTGTTTCTCTGTATACTTTGTTAGCCCCCTTTTAGCCTGTTCTTCAATGGTCAGGACCCCCACAGGACACAGAGCAGGTTTTGT